TATCTGTATGTGTGTTAGTCGTTCAGTTGTGTCCGGCTCCTTGCAGCCTCACGGAGGATAGCCCTCCAGGCTCCTCTGTCCATGGAATTCTCCAGGCAAGAATACTGGAGTGGCTTGCCTTTCCTTTCTCAAGGGGAATCTTCCTCATCCAGGGATTGAACCCAGATCTCCTACATTGCAGGCAGATTCTTTACCATCTGAGCCACCAGGAAAGCCCTTTCTCCATATAGTGATGTTATTAATTTGATGTGAAATTAGATTTAGTTTTTTAGATTGTACTTTTTCATTTATTTACACTCATAAAGTAAAACCATATTAAAAGGTATACTCAGGTAACTCAGGGAAGTCCTGCTCCCACCAAATCTCCTCCACCCTGCTATGACCCATCCCTTATCAGGTACTATTTTCAATATATAGATATAATTTCCCATATCTGATATGGAAAGCTACACCTATACCTTGAAATAAAAGCAAACTTTAAAAATTCAGCACCCCATATTACCAAATTCACAAAGAATGTTCCAAAGAGCTCTATCTAATTAACAAGACCAAGGATAGTATAAGCAAGATGTTATAAGATTAAATAACATATTTATATAAATGACCTCTGTTAAATGTTAGAATATAATATTTAACAAATTTCATGAATTAAAAAGCAAGATCTTCCTTCAAGAGTTACAAGTCTGAGAAATAGAATTTCAGTGGAAGAGATGACCAATGCTAAAATGACTGAAAACCTAGACTTGATGTAATAACATTTTATTTAAAAAACAACAAAGGTTTTTTTGTTGACTGTAACCTTCCTATGCAAGAATAATGGGCTGGGGTTGCTTATATGATTTTTTTATAATATTAACAAATGCATGGTTCCTAGATTATTGCAATGAGAGAGTCTATTCTTTGTTAGTTGGACCAAATCTGGAACAGTGTTTAATTCACAGGACCACGCTTTAAGAGGAACATTGAAAAGAGTACACACAAAGAAGAGAAAAATGCCTTCAGAGAACTTCCTTCAAATATTTGAAAGTAGTTACACAGAATAAGAAACAGATTCATCCTGTGTTCTTCTATAAGGCAAAACTTAGATCAGAATATAGATGGCACAAAGAGGAGGATTTCAAGTTATAGTTGAATACAGTATTGTATTAGTGAAGTCTCCCTCACTAAAGTATCTGAGGAGATTCTAGAATTCTACAGATGAGATTCCAAGTGTCTCTCAGTAGGAACGTTTTGCTGAATCAATTCTCTGCTTTTATTTTCTATGTGCACCTAAATACTTACGAGAGTAATCTACTATTAAACAACACAGGAAGTATTATTTGTAATGATGACCTTGATTAATAAAGAAAATATTAAACTGTGATTAGCTATACAGCATTGAACATGGTTGGAGTTTCTAAGCTTCCTAGAAGCCTTTTACCGGATTTCAGTAGTTGACAACATTCATGAGGGATGAGACCTGGGTGGTTAAGTCTGGCTGATGGATGGGACTATTCAGTGTCTATTGAAATGCAGGTTTCAGGATAGAATCACCAGTTGGAAACAAACATATAGTCAGGGAAGAGAGGGTCAGACATAGCAGCAAGGCTTTGTAACACTGTCTCAGTCATCCACTGGAGCAATGTTCTGAGTAGTGTATTTCACCTAGATTGTTTTCCAGCATTCTGTGCAAACATGAATGTCGAAGGGGGAAAGGGGATGTGCATGTGTGCTCAGTTATGTTCAACTCTTTGTGACCCCAAGGGGATGGTGAGCAAAAGCTAAAAGAACTGGGTTGATTAAAATGTCTGCAAGACTATAGAAGGCAAGATAATACTGCTTTGATGCCCATATGGCATGCTATAACACAAAAGGGAGGTGTTATTTCTGTTTCTGCTCAACACAAACTGGCTTGGCTCATTACAGTCTCCGAGAACACAGTGTCATTGTTTTGTGTAGAGGGTTTCAGCACATCACCACTGTCTATGTCAGCGCTGAGATTTAGGAGGAAATGTCCAAGACGAGAGATGCTGTGTCCAAAGGCCAAGGACCTGCATTTATTTTTGCAAACAGTGGAGGCTTCCAAATCTAAAGAAAGAAGGTAAAGTCTTCAAATAAAAAAAAAGAAGGTAAAGGCTTCTTCATGACCATACTGAGATATGTCTCGGCAATTCTCTCTAATTAAAGGGGGAGAGTGTAAGTGTAGAATCCCCTCTGGAGAAGGTGAGGGTAGGTAGCCATTTCTACAGAGTAGCTAGTTCATTATTCTAAACATGATCTGTCTGAAATGAAATATATCTGTAAATTCTTTGGCGTGTCTTTCGTTGAATTTGGGAAGGATTTCGTGACTTACCCATATCCAATAAAATGTAGCAGAAGTGATGCTGTGTGACTTTGGAAGCTAGGTCAAAAAGGCAATACAGCTTCCACCTTGCTTACAGGAACCCGAGGGTATAGAGCCCTCAGCCACCTTGTTAGAAGTCTCAGTACCCTGAGTCAGCCATGCTAGGAGGAAGCTCAGGCCACCTGAAGAGAGGAATTCTGGCTGACTGCCCTAGTTATGGTCCCAGCTTCAACCATCAGAGATAGGAGGAAATCAGCTTCCTGATGATTCCAGTTCCTCACCACTGAGACACCTCCAGGCAGTCAATCTTCCCAGTCGAGGTCACAAACATCATGGGGCAGAAATAAGCCACGTCTGCTATGCCTTGCCTGAATTCTGACCGAGATGGTAACTATATTTTATAAAGGGCAAACCTATTAGGTTTGATCCTCACAATGATACAGACAGACAGGACTGGCATTATCATTACCCTCATTTTAGAGACTGAAGGAACAGCAAACAGGGATTTGCGCTTACTAGCCTTGAGATTATATAGCCAAGATGTGGCATGCTGACACTAAAATACTAATCTTTGGATTCCAAAGTTTATGCTTTCCACTATATTTTCCCATCTGGATTCTGTGGGTCTTTAGAACGGCTTAGGGAAATCAAAGAAGATATATCCCGAATTTGATGATGAAGTCAGAAAATACTAAATAAATGAAAGCTAACAAGAATAAATATTAAATGGACGAGATACCCCATTCTATGGAGAAAAAATAGGAGATGATCTACAGAGTGTGGCAGATAAAGAAGGTTATACTTTAAAATGCAACCAATGGAAAAAAATCCTGGAGTTTTAATGCTATGAAGAAGTGAGATAATGATGTGATATTTCTAGGGATCCATTTTTTAAAAAATGAAATAGGACAGGACTATTAGAGAATAAAAACTCTGCCAATTGTATTTCTGATGGTATCGAGGGGGAAAGGTGCTATGATTGGCTGCTGGTTCCATGTTCCTCTGCTTAGAATTCCTTATAGTAAAGAAGGGCATTTTAGACTTGTATAGTCCAATGACATTATCCTTTACCATCATCCTCTACCATCATCCTCATTTACACTACTTTGTCAAGCCATCTTTTGATTTAAATTTAGTGTCTCAAAGAGACTTCTCTACTTAGAAGAAAAGTACAGAGAATACTATGCTCATTCGATAGGTGGTATTCTAATTTTCCCCTATTGTCCTTTATTTTTCAATGTAGGGGAATATTAGCATTCTGATTAAACAAGAAGCCTCACACAGAAGTCCTTACCTTGGGAATAATGATCAGCTCCTGAGCTCCTATTAACTCTATCGGTACACAAACATCCTACATCAGATGTCAATAGGACAGTCTTCTATCTCTTGAATCATGGTAAATACAAGAAGGTCACTGGTGACCTCCCCCCATGGGTAGTCCACTTAGAGCATACCATGACTTGATGCTTAGGTTATTTTGTGATTACCTGTACCCCATCAGGAGTTCACAGTAATTTTCACTGCTTCTCTGATTTTTCCCTTTCTTAAGTTTTTTCCCCAGCATATTTCCCTTTTGTCACATAAATGTATTTTTTTAATAATAAGCCAGATTTAACGAATTCCAATCTATAATTAGACCTCTTAAAGGTAATTTACCTCTCCTCTCGTTTTCACGCATATTTTGCATAGAGAATGCCTTGGGCTATTCTGTTTATGAACTGCACAAAAGTATTTAAAATATTTTGAATGATTTTCTTGAAAATTAAATGATTCAATTTTGGAAGCTTCAGATGTCTAGAATGCTCCATGCCTTGTGCAGGCCCTAGTGCATGGAAAGTGATCCACTTCCATTTGTTAAATGAACGAATCTGGAAAACGAGAAACAGACTAAAACATTTCATTCCTAAACGATGGTAAGAAAAAAAAAAAAAAAAAGCTTTTACACTTCCATTTAGACCCGCTTTGACAGGCCAAATCCTTTAATGAAAAGGATCCAAGCATCATTCTGGTAACCTGGCTTTTCCTAAATATATTTCTATCAAATTCTGCTTGGCTGTTGCAACCTCGGGGTTTCGAGTCTTATTTTTATGTCTCCGAGACGTTCGTTGTAATGATAATAGAAATAACACAGTAGTATGGGCTTTCCGCCTTCCTCCCTCTAGGATTTCAACTTCTCCAATCTCCTCTTCGAGTAAATCCGACAACACAGAATAGGTTTAGGACTGAGAAGAGAATTAATCGGAGCCATGGAAACGGCCGAACGGAGGAAACGTGGGAGAGGAGGGTGGGCAGGAGGGGTAGGCACCCTCCCCTGACGACTGCGCGAGGGCGCTCCGAGGATCACGTCACGCACCTCAGGTGACGTCACGACCATGACACGCGGGTGACGCCGTTGCCGCGGCGACTTCCAGTCGTCTCCGCCCCCTGCCCCCGCCCCCCCCCCCCCCCCCCCGGCCTAGTGTCCTTCCCCCAATCCCCTCAGGCTCTGCTGCGCCAGGGGCCGCAGGCCGGTTCCCGAGGTGGCCCAGGCGCCCTCCCACCGCCGACGCCGCCAGGGCCGCCCGGGCCGTCCCTCCCTGCCGCCCCCCGTCCTCCGCCTCCGCCTCCCCCCGCCCTCCGCCTCCCTTCCCCCTCCCCGCCCAGCAGCGGTCGCTTGGGCCCGGCTCTCGGTTATAAGATGGCGGCGCTGAGCGGCGGCGGCGGCGGCGGCGCGGAGCAGGGCCAGGCTCTGTTCAACGGGGACATGGAGCCCGAGGCCGGCGCCGCGGCCTCTTTGACTGCGGACCCCGCCATTCCTGAGGAGGTGAGTGCCGGCGCACCCTGCACCCCTCCTGTCTCGGGGCTCGGCTGACTAGTGTTTATTTTGGGGGAAAGAGGTGGCGGTGGGGGCTCCGGTTGCCCTCAGCCACCTTTTCCTCGGGGCTCTGCGGGCTGAGAGACTGGCTTTCCCCACCTGTCCCTCCCCGCCAGGCAGCATCTCGCTACGTAAACACACACAATGGCCCAGGGGGGGTTTCCCTGGTCCGCGCTCTGGGCTTGAGGGATTCGGGCAGCAGTGGTGGAGCAGGAGGCTATCAATAGGGGGCGAGACTCGGGGTTGGTCCGAGAAGGTCACGGCTGGCTGAAGGTAGCCAGCCTCGCATCTCCTGGATGTTTTCTTTATTTGTGGTGGTGGTGGTGGTGGTGGGAGAGCTGGGGCCGGCATCCTGGTGAAATACGTGGGTTAGTAGCCGGTGCCGGGACCCCAGCCCGAGTTAACGTTGTGTGTAATTATTACATGCTCACGGTGAAGATGGGCGCATCATTCTCTAACTCTCCCCGACTCTGCCCCTTTTCAGGCCGCTGAGCTCCCTCCGCTTCTCTACTTGTTAGGGCGGAGGGGAGGATTTCTCGTCACCTGTTTTAACCAGCTAATGGTTTTGATCTAGCCTCTACTGTTTCAATCCTAAGTGCCAGTGTTTCCGTTCTTTCTTCCATCCCGACCTCAGACCCCCAGTTCCTAATGTTTGTCAGTGTCGCCAGCTGGTAACCCCCATCCCAATTCCACCTGCCTCCCCGCTCCTTTGCCAGTGGTCGGACCTGCCTGCTCCTAACCTCAGTTTCTACTTAAGACGATTTTTTGCACCCCTCTCGTCTTAGTCTTGTTGAGGCCCTATACTTCATTCCCCTGATCCGTAACACGTTACGGTCACAAATCCTTCTGGACACTTTGGAACTACTTACTTTCCAAATCCTGATGCTGTCAAGATTCCGTCAGATTTCACTTGCTTTCCTGCCACCTTTTAGTCCGTCATCCATTGTGCATCCATACCTCTTTGTTTATTCCTACCTGTGGTTTTTAAGTAGGTGTGATTGATTTCTTTCTGTCCCATTTTTTTCTTTTACTTTTTCTTCTTTAGTCCTTCCATCTCTCAGCCACTGTTTATTTTAGTCTCTTATCACCTTGTCAGATTACTTTCTTTACATTTTGGTTTCTATTATGTAAAATGTTTTGTATTACATAAAATAATACACTTTATTATGCTTTCCAAATAATGAGATAATGTATGGTATGATAACTGTGCTTTATAATTATTGATTAGATAATGTGATTTAACGCCATTGACTTTGCTCAAAGTTCTTTCCTTCGTACTACAGCACTTAACATTTTATTTCCCAATTCTTGTAACGTCTCATTCTTTCTTCTGTCTATGCAGTTCTCTCTTTCCTGCTTCATCATCTTTACTTTGAGATTCATCCCATGTGCTAGCTCTATTCAGTATCAGTTTGTTCACAATATTGTTTGTTTTTCATTCTCTTACACCACTTGCATCTGTGCCCAAGGTTCGTTCTGTACTATCATTTGATTTCATCTTAAATTCTCATTTGTATATATCTATAAATATATTATAAAAAATAATGGGCATGGGTTATGAATTGTAATGTTCTGATTGTAACATTGTTTTTGTTGAGAACTTTGTTTCCGAATTATATAAATATCTCTATATAGATATATATGATGTGTGTGTGTGTGTGTGTATTCTTTACACCACTTCCCAGTTACTTTTCTGTTTGCATTTCTGCTCAGATCAATTTCCTCAAATATCTGTTCATTTCCCCTAGTTTCTTGGATTTTAAGGATAGTGGTCATCCCTTCTTCCATTTCCTAGTTCATTCTGTTTTCCTTGTCCCCAATTGCCATTCATTCTGCTTTGTTTCCTGGCTTTTGGTACTTAACTTGCTGAGGCTTCCTCTTGTCTTCCCCACACCTCCACATTCCTTCTTATTTATAAACAACTTTGTTCCGTTGACATGGAAATTTATTTTTAGAATACATTGTTTTTAATGGATAAATAGTTGGGGTCACATCTGCTGTCTATTTTTTCCACAAATCGGATATGCCTTTGTCTTACTCCTCACAGGTGCCTCTAGGCTTACTTTACTTTGTAGTGCTTGTGTGGTTTTGTTGAATTGCATCCCAAAGAATGGTAAGATTAATGGGGCTTCCTGGTGGCTCAGATGTTAAAGAATCTGCGTGCAATGCAGGAGACCTGGGTTGGATCCTTGGGTCCGGAAGGTCCCCTGGAGAAGGGAATGGCCACCCACTCCAGTGTTCTTGTCTGGAGAATTCCATGGACAGAACCTGGCAGGCTACAGTCCATGAGGTCACAGGGTCAGACCCGACTGATGACTGACACTTTCTCTTTCTATGAAATCATATTTCTGATTGTAACATTATTTTCGTTGAGAACTTTGTTTCAAAATTATTAGAACAGTTTGCAGTGATATAGAGAAATTTTTTGTTAAGTACAATGTCTGCGATTTTATTTGAAAGGGCCAGATTGTTTTAGCTCTATTCTGAAGATTCTGACTCAGTAGGTGAGAGCTAGGGCCATGAGTTTCTGTATTTGGCACATTTCCTGGGCAGTTCTCATGTGCCAATACTTGAGAACTTCTAGGCTAGATGAATTCAAGTTTAAATTGGTAATAATTGGAAAAGTTATTAGCACCTCTTGAAACCATAAGTATACTCTTAACTAATTTTCAGTAGAAGTGTTTCCCCCTGCCTCCTCCACCCAAGTTTTTGTGGCTAGTGATGAATAGTAGTTTTTCCTCCATATTTTCTTATAAGAGCTTATAATAAATGTATTTGACTGGGGGAGGGGAGAGTAAAGGGTTAAAAATGAATCTCTTTTCAATATAAATATCAATGTTATGGGTGATAGAATAAATTCCTCCAAAAAATAATTTTAAATTTGAAGTTGGCTTACTGTCATCTTTTAAACTGTCTTCCTTATATGCCCTTAAGGAGATAATGTTACGATTCTCAAGTGCATAGAACAAAATGAAAAAAAGTGTCTAAAGAATTACCTTACTTGACAGTAAAATACAGATTTTTTAAAGCTTCTCAGAGGAAAAACACATTTATTATTGAAAAATTAGAAAAATATAAGTGCAAAAAATTTTGGAAAATTCTCTGTAATCTTGTCCCTAAGATATAATTACTATAAAGCATTTTAGTATGTATACATACACTCTTTTATGCTTGCATAATATAATGTATGTGGTTTTGTAATATTTTTAAACAGCATCATAAAAGATTTAACATATAGTGTGATTTTAACAATTTTTTATATTGTTTTTAATTTTAAAAATTTTATTGTCAGACATCTTGAACATAGAATGTAGATTTAGTCTTTAAAATTATGTTGGTAAGTGAACAAATTTCATGTCCTGTATTTGTAAGTATTACATTGTAGAAGCTCAAGATAGAATATTCTAATAAATGACAGGAGCTTATTAAATATTTATCAAATAAATGTGCTTTGACTTTTGGCATTAAACATTTACTTCTGACCATTTATATTTCCCTGATATTACTTTCTTTCTATGACCATATGGTATAGTATGGGACATTATGACAATATGGTATAAACTATTTTTTATTTATTTTTTTATTGTAGTGGTTTTTGCCATACACTGATTTTTTTTTTAATGTGTTATGCCAGGGTATGATATTTATTAACCATTCCTCTTATGGTCTATTTTTGTAGAAAGGAGCCTCTTACAGTCACATTCCAATTAAGATTGTATTGTTTTCAAGATCTATTATCACCAACCTTGGTTAAACTGTGTAATTATAATAATGCATTGACTAAGTAGTATTCTGGGATAGTATGTCTTTTATAATGAGGTTCAGTGTGTTAAAATACATTTTTATGAATCATGCCAAACCAGGTTGAATTGCATCATACTTTTAAAAAGTGGTAGGCCCGCTAAACTTTGTGTTTCTACAGTTCTGACTGTTGCTGTATAAACTTAAGATACATTTCAAAGTGGACAAAACATGCCTGTTAGTTAAAACCATAAAATATCTGTGTCTTTGGTGTTTTTAGCATTCCCTTTCTGTAGTCTTTCTCTCTTATCATTTAATGAACTCCCTCCTTTAGGCACCACTCACCTCTTCTTTTATTTAGAAATTTTCTGACATCTGTCACTTATGTATGCTGACTATTAAAGGAATTGATAGTCAGTAAATGGACAAGAAAGAAACTTTGGAACTGAGTACTCGAATCCTTGAATGTAGTAAAACCTGAAAGCAACTTGATTTAATTGTATTTAGATAATAGGTTAGACAAACTATATTAAGACTATAGGCTAGAGAAGTCTGATTTATTTTGATTCCCTGTTTCTGGCTTTACTGTTGAGGGAGCCCATCAAGTCATAACAAATGGAAACCTACGTTCTAGAGTGCTAGGGAAGAAAGGGAGGGAGCTTTGTTAGCATTTGTATACTGCTTTGTTAGCTTTTTCTGAGACTTGATGCTTACCTTGTTGAAGAATGAGGCATTTATTTAGTGTTCTTTTTTCTACAACCATAAAGTTCTTTTTCTCCTTTAGAAATGCAGAAGTGCGTTTTTCTCCTTGACATCTTGATATTAATTTAGCTGGTACTTAGTGAACATTTTGTGTCATCTTCCTCTTTTACGAAATTCAGTATGTTCCTGTGCTTCCTAAATTTCTGCCTCAAATTGTTATTCAGATAAAACTTTAGAGTCAGTGGCTTTTACTGAATTTTTCTTCCTCAGAAGTTGAATTGTTTTGAGTCCTTTTACTCCTTCTCTTTGTCTAGTTCATCTGAATTGGTTAGTCTGTAAAGTCAGGATCAGCAATAGTTATACAGCTTCTGAATTCAAAATGGATGAGCCTGTTGAGGAGCTTTTCTGTTTTGTAAACAATGCTTGCATGGCCATAATGTTGTAGATAAGAACCAAAAATCTAGCCTTATTTCTTCTATTCCTTCCTTAAATATTTGGTGGAGGCA